TTCTCTTCTCTTCTCTTCTCTTCTCTTCTCTTCTCTTCTCTTCTCTTCTCTTCTCTTCTCTTCTCTTCTCTTCTCTTTTTCTTTCCTCCTCTCCCACCCCTTCCCTTCTCATTTTATTTTCTTCCTCTTCTCGTTTTCTCTTCTTGTTTCCTTCTCTTCTTCTTTTCTTCTTATTCTTTTCCTCCTTCTCCTTCTTAGCACTCTTTGTGCTTAACCTAATGAACCTTCTCTATCCCACCCTGATTAGTAGAAAGCTGAATAGAAATATTTAGGTGGCATCAATAAGCAGCAGCTTCATCCCCCACCCAGAAATGACATCAGTCTCATGGGTACCTTGCCACTTCTTCCTTCTGCCTTCCAGGGATGTGGACAAACATCCCAGGGCTCTGGAATAGAGCTGGGATTGCTCTGATGGTGCTTGGGTTGTTGCTGCTGGATCTCTGCACTCTCAGGAGCTACAGGCAGACTGGAACTCAGGAGCAGATGGAGGCACCTTCACAGCATGTTAAAAATACAGGCACTTGACAAAAATGAGCAGGTAAAATGTGTTTTATGGGAAGTGGGGAAAAATAATGTAAAATTAAACCAAGGATGACATGAACCCTTTGCTTGGTGGGGACAGCCCCTGTTCAGCATTTGCTTTGAAGAACATCTGCCCCAAAGCCCTCCTGCCTCCAGCCTTTATTCCTTTATTCCTTTATTCTTTTATTCAGGTGCCTTTTTCTTGATGATTTCAGGCACAGGAATCTCAGCCTGCAGTGCTGCAGCAGCTCTGTGTGGGTACAACATATGTTAGTCCTGCTCAACAAGGTGTGTTTTGTCAGCAAGAGACTGGGAGAAAATATCAGCCAAAGCTGCAGGGCTGGGCTTTGCTCTGGGAGGGCTGAAAACCTCCCTGGGAAAACACATCCTAATCACACCTTCAGTCTGGAGGTGAGGGAGCTGCTTTAGGTGAGGGGGAAAGACAATTCTCAGGGGAAAAAAAAAAAAAAAAGCCAACAAAAACCAGAATAAAAGATGATGTAAGAACCTCTCTGCTTTTCTGGGTCATCCTTGGCTGCTCACAAGCTGTTCCTGGCTCCATCCCAAGGAGTTTAGGAGTAACCACACAGCCTGATGACTGTACAGAGAAGTTTTCACTTGACTTGCAGCCTTGGTGAGGAATTTCCACAAGGCTGAGAATGAGTCTCCATCCAGGCTCAAATCAATCCTGTCCCTTCTGCAAAATGAATCAGTCCTGCTGCTTTTTGCAGGTGGAAATGACATCCCAAGCGGAGGGGAGCAGGAAAATATCACCACACACCTGCATTTCAACAGCTCTGTCAGTTGAAGGA